TTTCATGCGCTCAGCTGGTTAGAAAGAAGGATTTATTTTTCGCCGAGTCTTGGCAATGAATGTGGTGAAGAGCGCTTGAGTCAACTCTGCGTTTTTGCTGATACTCGTAACCGGCCCTGAAACTTACCATGGGTGCAAGCACGCTTTGAGCCACATAACTCAATTTTTGACGCGCGGGAACTTCTGGTTCAAAAGTTGACACTTTGTTTGTATGACGACGCATTCACGCGAAAGTCGTCAGAATCTTCACGAAGACGCAACTGCAACGTTCACATTCCCCTGATTCAGTAGAGACAACAGTGCACTTCCTTGACTTCACTATATCGTGGTACGAGCGGCACCTTTTATGTAGGCGAAACGGGTGATGATAACGCCCAGAAAGAAAATACTTTGCAATAGAAGCATTACGAAAAGTACTGATTACGCTAAATTTCCAGTGCAAGATTTCAAACTATTTACCTTGTCAGAAGTGCTTAACCTTTTAAAGTGGTTCCAACCACGGATCCATTCGTAGATAGCGAGGATCTGTGCTCGGAGATCCTTCTGCACGCCAGCAAACGTTAGTTCAGTAATGTTTTTTGAGGTGAATGGCTGGAAAATTTGGTCCATTTAGTCTTTAGATATCTGGCACGTATGATGGCATTGCAATAAGAACACAGAAATTGCATGCAACTCAATGCGATATTTCAAACACTTAAAGTAGACTGCTTTTTGGAACAATAACATGTCTGCTCAAAGCCCAACTAAGCAATTAGTCGGGAACGCGTTTGACCAATTTCTTAAGCCTATATTGGCTATAACCTGCAACCTAAAACTAGATTACGCACTTACTATGTCATTCACATCTCCGGCCGAGAGTATTTCCGAGATGCTGTTCTTTACGCAATAAAGGATGCTTCTTCTCTCATTGTAGAGTCGTTCCTCCCTCAAGAGCATATCCAGCACACTCGAGGGTGTCTCCCTCAAACAAAGGAGTGTGATTTTGTTGATACTTATATGTACTTTGTTCAGAACCGCCCCAATCTTAATACTGGAATTGAAACAAAGTATCTGCCTGTTCAGAAGTTAACGTTCTCCCTCATTCTCTCCCTCAACTTCTCACTTTAAATAGCAAGTAAAGTAGAAACTATTTGCGGAGTAGGATTGCGACCCGAGAGTCTCCAAAGGGATACGAAAAAGCGTAAAGGAATGAGTATGACACCCTTTCGTGCTGCTTTCATTATGCTGCGATTTGTTTATGAGAAAATTATGAAAACTTATATGAGCAAGGAATAGGGCCCATCGGGCCCAATATGAGAGCAAAAAATCGGGCCCATCATCAATTTTTGGAAATACTTGAAGCTGCTCTCCAGCAGGCATTCAGCTGGCGAGATTCCAGCTTATCTTACTGCAGTTTGCTAGCTTTTATTCACAGAAGTTTATGTAAATTTCTCGGCTGAAGTTCGAGTTTTTTCAAGCGCATGCGCACACCAAGTTTGGTGTCATATCATCGCCATTCTTCGAAAGCGAGGCATGTGCTCGTGTGATTTCGCATTTTTACTTGGACGAGAGAATATCAAAACATGTAAGTGATGACCCTGTCTTCACTTGTTCAAACCGGTGATTAGCCCAAAACCGACGAAAATTAAAGACAGCGTCTATCCAAAATTTCGCTTCCCATGTTTTAAGCATTCTTTTTCTTTAACTCGGTTACAGTCATAAAGTTCGAACTGTCCAAAATCCCCAAAAAAACGGATTACACCCTTTATTCAGGAAGCGCATGGATTTTGGTCGCTCCCCGTCGGCATGCCAGCAGGGAGGAGCTGTAAATGCATGAGTGCGGTTGCACGGGAGACGGTTTTTTCGCACGGGCGGGCTTTCGCGCCACCCTGATTTTGACTTGTCTT